TAAAGAATTTTATTTCTTTCTAACCAGTTAAGCAGATTGCCCTTGATGAGCTTTTCGAGTACTTTACCAATGGGAGCAGTTATGCTGATAGGTCGAAAGTTGGAAAGTGCATTGTTCTGCTCACGCTTGGGTATAGCTTTCACTAAAGCTTCTTTCCAAGAGGCAGGCACTACATTAAGCGTCAGTGAGGCGTTGAAAATCAGAGACAAGGGAAGAGCTATAGCAGCCGCACATTTTCGGTATATGATTTGTGGAATACCGTCATATTCAGCGGTGATTTTAGGTTTCAACCTTTTCAAAACATCAAAGGCAGTACCTCGGCAGAATGAGACCCGACAAAACAAGGTCACAGGGTAGGAGCCCCCATATGGATCCTATCGGCCAAAGTCCGTCTTTCTCTGCCACTTCTAACCCCCGAAATTTTAACGCGGAAGCAGCGCTCATCTCCTGTCCTCTCCGAACCCGCCCACCCCATGGACGAGTGAACGCGAGGCCCGTCATGGCGAAGACGCAGAGTCGTTGCGGGAACTCATGCTTATAGCATTCCGGCTGGCGCTCTGACCGCGAAATTCACTCGTCCATGGAGTGGGCGGGTTCGGAGAGGACAGGAGATGAGGGCTGCTTTCGCTGGCAGAGAAAGATCGAACTTTGGCCCATAGGTTCCATATGGGGGCCCCTACCCTGTGACCTCGTTTTGTCACGGGTCTCATTCTGCCGATGTACTGCCTTTAAGGACTTTACTAGGATTAATGTCGATATTAGGGCAAGAATTACCAATATGCATTGTGAGACAAGGTCATCAGTCAGCAAAGCAATGATCGCAGAGCTACAGCTAACTTCCTCGAAAAAGCATGAGAAGAAATTTCCTAGCGCTTCCGCTTTTTCTCTATCACTGACAAAGACGTTACCTTGCTCATCTACTAATTCACGAACCTTCTGTTGTCCCTTTGTTTTGTAACTCTGTTAACCATAGAGCCCCTTCATATTATACTTAGAAAGACGGCGTTCGCGATTTGCCAGGTATTTTTTGATGTGGTGGTTAATGTCTTTGCAAACTTTTCTGTAACTTTTAACTTCTAACTTTTCTCGTCTATTTGAACTATATTAGTAATTCTTCACATCATTTCATAGGCTGACAAAGCAAAATTTCCCGTTGTCTCACCATTCTTCGGAAAAATTCATTTTGAGGCTGTCTATAACATCTCTCCTTTCCCAGACGCTCATTTGAAATCATTTGGAAACAGTGTATGACTATCAGAAGCTTACTAGAATTGACTATTATGAGTACCACGCAAAAGTGCAACATTGCAATACAGGGTGTCCTAAAAAGATGTGCCTACTGTTTGAGTGTCACTAACTGCCTTGGAGTGAGGTCTTTCGAAAAGCTTTAAAAATCGTTTTGTAGAACTGGCCTCATCTTAGATTTAGAGTATGAAGCGAATTAAGAATTTATCTTCATTAATGTATGAGCACGGTGGAACTTGCAGCATATGGCGCCACTGTGAAACAGCCCGTTTGGAAAAAATTTCCAAAAAAATCCGAAAAATTGCATAACAAGGTTCTCATGCATGCTGTCAGTACAAAAATTGCGCTTTTATAGAGCTGAATGGGCCTAAGCAGATCCTTAACGATCAGCAGAATTTGATGTTTGCAGTATATCTGGCATAACTTATCAAAAGTGCATTATGGTGAAGTGCGAGTTTCATATTTGAAATCAGCACTCAGGTTAACATAGTGCAGGAGCTTTCAGCTTCTTTTTCTGTTTTAGGGGTGAAATGTGGCCCTTCTTTACATAAAACCTTCCTCAAAGTTCCTACCGTAATTCTACAAAAGAGAGATTTTTGTTTTGCACCACACTGTAAATCTAATAAGGGAAGCTTGTTTACTCCAAGTGGCCTTTCCAAATGAGATGTACACCATATCGAAGGGCATAAAACGTTGATTCCAAAACTGCCCTCCTAAAATGCAAATCGTTTAAGGACGAGGAGTTATGAGCGTTTCTTTTGAGCCAAAAGTTGCATGTGCATTTTGGATAAGATGAGTTGCTAATCACTAGCCCTCAAATCATGGACCATTTAATATAATTTTTGGTTTAGAGTATTTTTTAAATGACATGCTCTGATGATTATCACTGCTCCATTGGAGAGCTAGAAAAAGTATACGGCTATTCTTGTCCTACTTGCACATTCAATTTTTTGCTTCAAAAAGTGCTCATAAATCCTCGTCCATAAATGTTCTGCAGATAACGAAGACACATTTGAAATCAGCATTTTATTCTCTTCAGTATGTAATGTCCTTTTTAAAAAGGCCACCTAAATCAAACGTGCAATTCTTGTAAGTTCAAAAACTCTCAAAATAGCATCTAAAGCTTCTCGAAAGTTCATTACAAGAGGGTTATTAGCAATCAAACAGTAGGCACGTCTTTTTGGGCCTGTTTATTTTGGGGGAGAGAAAACCAAGCTAGAGCCCAGTTGCTAGTGGCGTGACTGCCCTATGCTTTTTCCTATCTTGGGCTTCAAAGCTTTTTTATGTTGCATAAATTCTAAACTTTTTACGGCAACTGGGCTTAACGAAACGGAATCAAGTTTGCTTAATGTTGTTTCATGTTTGCCTTTACTCCCATCCTTTTTTCACTTCTGCTAACCTTGAATTTTCTTTAATTAATTGAAGTAGGCTATATTTTACGAAAAGCGCTGATCTTCCCTTTGTAAGGTCTCGGGCAGAGTTCACGCGATTTGATCGTCGTGATACAATCGCTAAAGACAAGTGTTACGAGTTCATTGCCAGCCGATCTTTTTCCATTTCGGTTGTGATAGTTTCCCAACACGAATAATCGTGACTAACTATCACAACCGAAATACAAGAAGATCTTCATGCAATGAACTCGTAACACTTGTCTTTAGCGATTGAATGCGACGACCACGCGTGAGTTCTGTCCGAGGCCTAAGGCCCCGGGCAGACTTCACGCGATTTGATCGTCGCGACTGAGTCGCGACGAGACAACTGTTACAACATCATTCCATGCCGATCAACTTGCATTCGGTTGTGATACTTTTCCAGCCCGAAATTTTTGAATGTGAAATGAAAATGAATGGAAATCTTGGCGATTAGATCGCGACGATTGAGTCGCGTGAAGTCTGTCCGGGGCCTAAGACGAGGATGTAGCATTCATTTGCCTGAGAGGTAGCTCACAAATATCTACGGAGCTCGTTCCTTGTAAAGGTGTCCCAGCGTAAACTTCTGAAGTAATGGCTGAAACACTGCCTTGGGAATTATCAAAAAAGGGGGCCGGCGCCACAAGCGAGAGAGCTAGGGAGTAACACCAATAATCTACCAGTGTTATTAGTAACATTAATCTTATTTTTCACATAATAGAGAATGTCTTTGTTCACAACGTGTGAACAAGTCAATTTTGTGAGTGTCACTGTCAAATCTCTGCGTCTCGGCTTCTTTTGCCGATAATGAGCAGGAGGCCTTTATTTGCCATTGCCCAAGCTGCAGCTCTGTTCAAGCCGATTCCATTCCAAGCCGTCGCCCAGTACCGCACTCAAGGACGCTGACTGGTCTAGAAGTTGATGGGCGAGAGTTTAGAGTGGAACTGCTCGCTCCGAATGAAACAGATGTGCTTCCGCTTGGACACTATTAAGTTAGGCTTTTGACTTTTACTTTTCTACACAAAGCCAGGTACCCATTGCACAACATTGACTCGAAACCAGGTCTCTGCAGGGGAATCCATTCTTTATGCGAAAATCGTATCCCTTGTAAAATCCGGCTTGATTTTTTCCCCATAATTATCAACATATGCGCTGAGACCATGTCCGTTAGAGTTATAAGAAGGTGGAACTCTTCCAGATACTACTATATCATCTAGCCTTCATAATCATTCGTTCTGAATTTTATTTTTGCATTTTAACAAATTGTAGAGTTGCATGCACATGTCTGTGATGCTTCTTGCAGAACATTCTATAGTAAAAGAACGAAGCGTCCGCTGGAAACGCTTAGGCAATGCGAAATTTAGTGGCGCTTACGACATAGAGTACGAAAAGGCATTCACAGAGATTGTTCCCCGACTACATACACTTTCCCCAAATTTGTAGAGTTCCATGCTGTCTGTGATGCTTCTTGCTAGCCTGAATTGCTTCTAGTCCACAAGCTGAACATCTCACTTAGCCACAAGTAAGAGTTTCTTTGGGCTTCAATCTCCGCCGGATTGCTTATCTATAGCCACTTGAGCTGAAATCGCCAGCTGTAAAACGAAAGCGATTCATTTGTAACAAATCAATTATGCTATTTTATTACAAACTAGCTGGCTTACGCGGCTCCGCCCGGCCCTGTCAAACACGATAAAGGTTCCATTTCTATCCCTTGACAACATTTCGCTGTGCTTACTTCTACACGCCAGTTCCCTATTCCTGCTGTTTTAGTAATCATCATGCTCACTTACCCCCTGTACCAACTCCCAGCTTTGTAGCTCAAACTTTGCAAAAAATCGATAAAAGCGATGGAGGTAACAGATAAGTTGGTAAAAGTAATTATTGTTCGTAATCAGCAGGCTCGATTACCTCCCTGTGCCAACTCCCAGCTCCGTAGCTCAAAATTTGCAAAAAAAAATCGATAAAATCGATAAAAGTAGAGGATAATTCTAGCAGTTAATACTGTATTCGTAATCAGCATGCTCGACTACCCCCCCCCCCCCCCATCCAACTCCCAGTCCAGTAGCAAACTTTACAAAAAATCGATAAAAATCGATAAAATCGATATCGACCGGTAACGAGAAGTTATGTGTGCCAAGTTTGGTCCGGATCAGTCCAGAAATAAAATTTTCTATTCGGAACATACGTACAGACAGACATTTAGACAAACAGACATTCAGCTTTATATATAAGCAAAATTGAATACTCAAAACATCTGTGATTTATTATAATCTTGAAACATTCGTTACGATAGAGATTATACATGCACATTGTATGTGACTGTGACAGAAGCATTCGTACGCTTGTTTATTCTCCTGTGACAGGTCTCAACATGTCATTCACGACCGTTGCTTCTCTCTCCACATACTCTTTAGTTTCCTTTACCTGCAGATGATTAATTAAGTAGATGATTGCAATACAAATATATGTCACCCGCGCAGGTTATTCAACTTGTTTGGGTTCAAATGGAGATCGCTGACGAAATCAAAACATCCACTGTGCTCCAAGAGCTTCATTTCATCTATTTTTGTCAAATACGCTACTGGCATGCCACATCAAAGTACAATAAAATTACCTAAGCACATTATGAGGAAGAAAATAAACACATCGTAGAAGAGAAATTTGTGGCTCGACAGTTCAAGCTTATTAATTTGCCTACATCAATAGATTGGGCGTGACGTAAAGAGCGTGAGAGTTTGTATAACAGCAGAACATTATTAGATCAATTTACAGCAAAAAAGTACTGTTCTTCAAGATAAAGCTCAAAAACAACGCGATTCCTAGGTTCTTTTGATAAATTCGACATGAGTCTCAATATAAGAATAAATTCTAGCTTCTCAAATAATGCCACCAAAATTCTGCATTTTCACACAGCGGTGGATCTCTTTCCGTTCCAAATCAAACTTATCTTAGTCTCTTTGAGGTAATTTAGTAGGCAAGCTAAAGGAAGAGCACTTTCTCGCCGTATACAATCATCACTGTTAGTTCCATTCTTTTATTTCTGACTACAGTTAGTAGAAAGTCAAAACAGAAGGGAATTGCAGATTTTGTCTAGAAAGATTTGAGCGGCATCTATAAAAAATTTGACAATGTTCACAGGCGTCAAAAATCAATGTTTGCAAAATACCTTTTTATCGCAGTGGATGTTATTATTCTCATAATTGGGAAAAACTCAACGATTATACGAATTTCCCAGGAACTCAAAATCTTGTAAACATGAGCGTCACGTACCTTTTCAGCAACGGTGTCCTTTGCTTCAACTAGTTTTTGGGCCACAGTATTCAAAAGATTCTTATGTTCGGTACTCTGTAATTTTTATATCGGTATCATCTTATTGCACATAAACCATTGCTACCAAACTAGTAATTACTTCCACTGAAAACTAACATCGTTGTGATGATTTGATAGAGGCAACTCAGTTGAAAATGTTTTGAAAAAAGCTGATAACTTCCTGAGAGGAGTGGAAATGGTTGCTTTAGCAGCGGTTTGCAATTTCTCAAGGTGTGCATCAATTAGTTTTCTTGCGTTATGTGCGAACTTCACGATTTCTGTCTGAATTGAAATAAGAGAAATATGTTGAAGATATACTTTTTTCATGGCAGTATAGTTAGAAGCTTACACAGTTCATGGTATCGGAGTAGTTTCTGGCAGGAAAATCTGACTCAGCTGCTTGAGTGTTTAGAAAGAGCGAATCTGAGGTACAGGAAAATTCGAAACTGAGAAAGCGCTGGTCAATATGGGCGTTTCTCATTGGGTTCAAGGACCTTAATCACTGTGCACGTATCTACATGCCGTCATCTCCTTTCTAACGTCGAGATTCTAATGAAGTGCAAGATCGTTTATTTTCATCAAAGTTTCCAAAGCGTCGCAAATATTTAGAGCAATGATGTTTTTGTTCAAAGAGAAGCTCTATATTTCAATTGCCAATTATCCTGTGCAGCGAGTTGATGTGCCTTGATTTTCGAAAATAACCGCAACTGAAATTAGATGATACAGCTAAAGAAGTTAATTGCGCAAAGGATTGATACAGTCAAAAATACGCGAAAATGGCCAAACAGAAGCGATTTCGGCTTTCGATAATCTTGTACAGATAGCAGATTGCTGGATATGCTAGGACCCAAACTCATGCCGATGATTCCCCACGTTCAAGCCTAAGTTTGTTATTATAACCGCACAGTAAACGTACATATTCAGTGACATCTTTCACTTTTTCTAATTTTTCAGCAACTGTGTTCAGGAGATCTACCGAAGGTTCCTTCACCTGAAAAATGAAGCCATTTGACTTCTTGGAGGTGATTCTCATCTAATTAGCAGATGTAGACTTACGCTGCTGTGTGCTGGAGACGGACGAGGCTCAGGTGGAACTGTCTGGGTTTGGGCCGGAGCTGAACTCTTTCTCATGACAAAAGGGCTGTTATGTTTGACGTAATGCACTTCGCTAAGTTTCCTTGCTGTTTCTGCGAGGCTCTTCGCGCTGTCACTCTGAATTCCAGAATTATAAAACTGGTGTCAACGTCATTGGTAAGCTCACGAAGTTCATCTTTTATTATGTCCTCTTCGATATAAATCTGAAGTCATTCATGATCAAAACAAGAAGTGTGAGGAAAGGTTAAAAGGGTGCTAGAGGTTAGACTGAGAGAGAGACAGTACATAGGCTCTTCGAACAATTTTTGAGCGAGTATTGAAAACTGCAGAGAGGAGTCACCGATTCGAATTGCGAGGTCTCAAATAGTGACGTTCAAAAAAATTTTTCGATCACAACACACCTACGAATAACATGTTCATCAGTCAGCGTCAGTGTCTTCGTTGTGTTGAAGCTATTGCAAGTGAGTTCCAGTTTCGTTCATCCATCAAATTTTCCGTAACGACGCAAATGTCTCGATGATGCTCTTCCCAATCTCTGTTTTAGAATGCAGTTTTTGGATTTGCAGGAATGCTTCACCAGTTCTTTGTTTTTCTTGTTTCACAAAATGGGGGACTTTGACACTGACAATATCCATTCTTCTGTAGGTTCATCTTTTCGGTTCACACCCTCAGTGCATTAATCTCGTTGCTCATCTTTGCTGAGTGTTATAGGAAATTGATGTCTAACTGTAATAACTCGACGGTAATGATTGCATTTGCAAGTCCATATGCATGTGTATGTGAAAAAGGTGACAAACATTTATTTGAACTTGACCTTAGTCTGACTCATGTAATAAATTCTCTTCAAAATCTACCATGTCAACATACTTCTTTGATGCTGATGACCGCAGCAGAGTACGCGAGAGTGCGGTCATCTAGTAAAGTGCAATTGCCCACAGTAACGCAGGATAGCTTCGACTATACTGTTGCCAATCTGGATAGTTTGTGCGGAAGACTCAGTAATAAACTGACAGCATCCCTTTCATGTGTCAGTCAGTATTACAAATAGTGGTGAGGGTTTGGCACAAAGCACTTGGAGGCTGAACTTTGCTTCTAAGAAAAAAGGGAAAAGTAAAACATGCTGCATTATAGCAGCGATCCCCTCAGACAAATTCACTGGTTTTAAGAACATGCTGCGCGAGTAACATGCTTCGAGTTCTTCTCAGGAGCGCGCGAAATATAAACACAAGGATAAATGGACAAACGGGGGTTTACAGTTAGAAGACGATCATATTCCCCCACATTCAAACACATGTATAACCAACAATATTACATTAATGAACATTGATTTTAGCGCGAGATAGTAGAGTAAGGGAAGCTAACTTTGATATTCCCCGAAAACTAATGCTGAAAATTTCCATAATTCTACAAGCCTATAGTATGCAGTTTCCTATGTGGGAGCAGCAAAAAATTATTGGCAAAAACATAAAATTTTCGGTTCCTTGTTTTCTATCCGAGAATAAAACACAGCGACGGTGTATATAAATGTTTGATGTGGAGAGGGCATACGTGAGCAGATTAGAAATTTTGTGTATTTTTGGACGGAGTTACGTTTTTTTTTCGATTTTACAGGCAGTTGGATCATTTCAGTCTTTGGCGTCACTTACGCTTGATCAAAGCTGATGCAAATGCAAGAGAGCCATCCTGTAGAGCTTGCTTTGCTCTACCTACCGATACTCTGAATCTACTCAAAAATAAGGTGTATGACTATCGCGGTTTTAATTTGAAGGAGCTTATGGGACCATCTGATTAGGGCCCGGCAGGAGGTGGCATTTCAGAATTTTGAAAATGATATCCTCTTTGAAGCCAAAATTTCTTACGACTTCCCCTTTGACCCCATTTTTGACCCCCGTAAGTCCCTGACAAACAGATATACACAAATATTAAGATGGGCGACCTCAGCGCTTATTATAGTAGTACTACCTGGCTTTCCTGGTCCAGCCCGGGTCATCAAGGTTTCAGCTCAATGGGTTCATCCGCAAAGGAATCTATAAAAAAAAACATAGGGTCAAGATTTGCACAAACTTTGACGTTTATATATCTAAGATACTACTCATTTATTAGTCAGCTGCGAAACTTTACAACTTACAATAACCGATTGCGATTGGAGCGCGCTTTCCAAGGCCGATCATAACGCTGTGAACTCTATTTGGGGCTGTATCGAAGCGATGCCTTAGTGGTTTTGGAAGCGGATTTGAACATATAGTAATACTCTCGACCTAGTCCACATTTATGTAAAGAAATCCGGGAAATTATGTGAAGGAAAGCGGGGAGCCACCCCAGGTAACTCCCAGGTGGCGCGGGAGCCACCTAATTTCGAAAAACACTTACCATTTTTTAAATTCACATAAGTTTCTCAAAATTTTTCATACTTTTTTTGTGCTAATGGTCCTTCAACAACAACTCAACTTGGTGCCATATCGTTACTTGTGCAGTGAAAACGAGCCTATTTTGTTATTTTCCTCTTACAAGAATTGCGATTTGAATTCCCGCCTGCGGGCAGGCTAGCGATCGGAGCACAGAATCTTCACATTGCTGGAATCTAAGTTCATAGGACAGTAGCATCAACAAGGAATGATGAATAGAGAATGTTATGTGCATTGTTTATCGGTAAACAAAGGGGAAGTCGTATTTTGGGGTCCGGGCTCCGCCCGGACCCCAAAATACGACTTCCCCTTTGCTTTTTCGGGCCAAAAACGATATCCAGCTTGTGAAAGCGCCACCCCGCCGGGCCCTGCATCTGATATTAGGTTCCGAAAGTTCCTGCCTTTTATCAGACTCATGCTCAAATCACTCAGATTAAGCAAACGTCTAAATAGTGTTCGATGCAGAACTTCTTCCTCTTTCCAACGGTGATGCTTTTTTCAGAGTCCCTTGATGTGCTCGAATGATCATTAGAATCTTCAACCCATAATTTTTACTCAAGGTTTGGCTGTTTTTTATAATTTCCAATTTTACCTTTCGGTCTAGCTTTGATAAGCGTTGGATAGAATAAAAAAATGCATTAGGATACATTCTTTGCACTTTAACTGGCTTCTCAATTCCGGTGCTATCGAATTCCGCATTTCGGCATCCCAATCTTTACAACACAGAGCCAGGCCCGGAAAATTCAGCAGTGGGCAGATTGATTTAACGGCTTGTGATAGTGACCTTTATCTATGTTCTGCACTGATTAAGATGTGTTGGATGTATTGATGGGACAGTTGTGGAACTGGAAACTCCTTAAAAGGCTACCTATACATGTGCAGGAAGAAGTTTTCAGCCCTTAATGTCTGCACCGTCGTAGACGCAATCGGGCGCATCCTGTACGTGAACAGCAGCTTTTCGGGATCCGCCTACGACGCGACTTTGTGGAGGAGAACACCCCTTGGACAGGAGGTGACTGCAGGCGGTGCATGTGCAGGTTACGCGCATATGGGAGATTCCGGCTACGCTAATGGAACCAGTGTCAGAGGCGATATACTGAAAATACGCTACAATCGGGAACATCGCCACTATTCCATATGTTTATTTGTCAACAATATTGTCTCTCAAAAGATCGTTGAAATCAAAAAAAAAAACAAGAAGTGCTTTTAGTTCGAAATTTAGTTCTTCTGCACTTGTTGCTTTAGTTGGAGTTGTTATTTCTTTCTTAGAGTCTCCTTATAAGAATAAAAAAACTTTTGAAGAATTAAACCTAGTTCGCCAACTTAGAAAAGAATCCTTGAGATTAGTATAGTCTATGATGCTCTCCAGTGCTTTCTTTTGCAATTCAGCTAATCGAACAATTGCTCTGCACATGCTTGTTAGTTCCTCAAAATAATCTTTTTGACCAACAATCAGAAGCTTACAACTATTACCTGAACTATCGTTTGAAAACTTTCCAGAGCTTGGTCAAATTTCTCGCTCAGATTTGTTTGAGAACATTCCAAAGTTTGTCAAGTTTTTCGTTCCAGCAGCTTTTAGACTCCCCTGACACTTCGCCAGATTCGTAGGAATTAACCAGAGTATCTATCTGCTAAATTGTAATGGAAAGATTGATGCGTTGTCAACCCAAGCATAATACACTGAAATTCTCCAAAGTTGTGCGTGTTGAAGAATTATTGCTTCGCGATCCGCTGACCATCTTTTCCTACCAAAATCGCCATAACCTAAATTAAAAACACTCACAAACATACCCTTTTCGTGACGCTACAGCGTTCTTCTGAGTGAACAAGAAGCAAATCGTCTTCTGCAACTTTCTCTATTTGTGCCACTACAATGCGACAGTTGAGTTGTGTCATTTAATGCAGAAATGCATACCTCCTTCATTTTCATTGTGTACGCGTTTGGCAGACCTTAAGCTGCTATTCTTTGGTTATAATAGGTTTGCTCGAGACATTTCCTTTTTCGAAAAAAGGTTCTTCCGCAAGATCTCTTCTTGCGCCTGTTTATTTTTTGCGATATCTGATATGATTGCTTGGTACTAGAAGGCTAAAGTCGCTGAACTTACTTTTTCCCTCTATTTTCGAGCGATAGAGCTTTCCTTTCCCTATCATTGAAGTGTTGTTGCACCTGTTCAGGCGTTAACGCAATATCCAATCTTTCAAAAACTTTCTTCGAAATTGCCTTCCATGCGTGTTTTCTGTGTTCGTTTGCACTTACTAAGCGGTCACTCTGACCGCGGAGAAGTAAATTCTCATTTTTGAGCACTAAGTTAACAATAAAGTCCGAAGCCTTGCTGTTCAGAGGTGTTGTCCTCTTTTCATTGGCGCGATCTCAAAAATACATCCACGTTTTAAATTCTAATTATTGAACTTATTTTGCTTTAGTGTTTTTTATCGCAAAAGGCTGCACTGGAATGTCAAAAAAAGGTCCCATACAAAGCCATAGGGACGATTGCCAATAATGTCTTACACATACTACTGGCTCCCAAATTTGTAAAAAGGCGGAGTTTTGGGCACTTGGACAAGGTTGACGCATTTGTTGAGATTCCGCCTTCATACTGCTTAAGTTTTCTCCTAGTCGAAATTTGCAACGGTTTTAGCTGCCTATTTCCGCATCTATACGATTCTGGGAGTTGAGCGTAACTCCAATAGGTATAGTACACGATATGGTACGTTCATTCGGCGCTAGCAGCAGAACAAAATGATTCTTTGACTTCACTGAGGTCTGTTACGCGTAAAGTGTTAAAGTGAAACATCGTCGTTTTGAATGAAAAGGTTAGGGGTACTTTTTCATTTTCAACAATGATCTAGTGGTTTCACGTCTGCGTCTCATAAAATGAAGTGCTATTTCCAATACTCTACATAATAACAAAACAATGGATTTAGCCTGTTGGATATTTCGCAGTTTGGTTCAAAATGAAACAATCGTGGAACAAGCGTGGTAGTCTGTTGCTTACTTGTTTGTTTCATGATTTTGTAGGACCGATTTAACCGAGAGGTCGGGAGAAGATGATCATAGTTACCACCAGGTAAGCATGAGTGAACAATAACACATTTTATGATGGTTTTAACCAAATTACTACAACTCATGGTTATTCATTGGATGGGGAAAGTTGGATGTATTCAAGTACCAAATTAGTCATTTCTACATCCATCACAGCATGAAAATGAAAACAAAGCTTAAAAAGTCAAAGAAATGAGCTTTTGAAAATTAGCCATGTTGGGGCCTAACTGTCCTTTACTGACAGTGAAAGTTTCTGAATAGTTGGTACGAGATAGTACAAGCTTTGAACTACTTTCCTTTAAGAAGCTATCCTTGGAAAACCAAGAAAATCCTTCTATAGAGATTTCTTCAAAAACGAACATACAGGGTGTCCCAAAAGTCTTTGAGCCTAGTATTTCCTCCGCTGAAAATGCATGAAGCAACATAGAAGCATGAAATTCAGCAGGGAATTTGCGAAGAGCCTAGAAAATAACATGATACACTCAGATTTCTAAAAACCCTCCTTTGGCCTTTACACAGGCTCTCAGACACTTGCGGAATGCATGCACCATGGCAGCCAGGTAGTTGACATCGAGATTGTCTCACATCTTCTGAAGCAAGCAATCCAGACTGTCCAAAATTTAGCATGGAATAGAGCAAACCTTGTTTTCCATTACTGATCACAAAGAAAAGTCAATGGCCTCTTGACCCAGCTATTGAAGGGACGTAAATCTGAGAAGCATAACTGTGAGATTTGACGAAAGTGTCAAAATGTAGCATTCAGTGTTTGAGAACACCAAGAAAACAGCAATTATGGTGTACCGGGAGTGACTTTAAAGTGGCATTTCAGTAGGAAATGCAGGGCTTACAGCTAGAATTAGTGACTGAAGCTGATTCGGTGCTGGACTATCCAGCTTTTCCAGGTTTTTGTTTCACACAACTTTCCTTCTCATTGGAACGGCACAACTTCAGTGTTTGTATCCTAATCCTACTCTAATGAACGAAGGCTATTGATGGATTTTAAACTGTAAATGTAGAGTGAAGCTAGCTCTCCAACATGCAGTTTGAAAGTCCACAAGAGCTCCAAAGGCAAAATAGCTGTAAATATTTAAATAGAAGGTGCGTTTCCTTCGGCTTGTCTTCACGATTGTAGTATTGTTCGCTTCAAGAAGTATATCTGAAGAATGTACAATGTAAACGGTATGATTTTCTTGAAGAATATTGGCAACTAGACGAAGAACTCAAAGGCAAAATTTGGCTGAAAAGCGAGGAATACTAACAAAGTTACTACGTTGAAAAGTTAGGCTTAAGGACTTTTGGGACACGCTGTATATTCCAGCTAACCTAACTTAACCCCGCGAAACAGACCGTTTCAAAGCATATCCTCTCTTTTTGTTTGACACTAAACTGCCTTGATACTTATCTCGCACCGGCACAAAAGTAGAAAGACGCTCACATATCAGCGTTACCCAATTATTCGCATTTCATCCACTCATACGACCTATTTTCTCAATTATGGTTTCCTTTCCGGCTTCTGTAATTCGAATACAAGTTTTGCTTGGAGTTCTATCGCTTGTTTTCAATTGCAAAAGAATTTCATGATTAAGGAGTGAAAACCCTTAAGAACAAAAACTTCGCAAAATTCTCAAAGGTATGGGATTTCTTTGAAAAGGCAATGTTGTGGAAACCAAGTGCCTCGTAGTGGAATGGAATATTTATTGAGACAAACAAGCTTTTGAAGCGGAGAGAGCAACCTTTGAAACCGGGGGTTCTTTATATAGAAAATCGGAGCCGAGCCGTGCACATTCAAGCTTAAAGGCAGTGTCCGGGCAAAACCTCAATTTTGAGATTTTGTGCTTACTTGGGCCTATTCGCTACGCTGAATCCGAAAATGCGCATTGTAGAGCGCGAAAATGGCGAAAAACGGCTCTAACTCAGGAGGGAAATGAGCAGGTGGGCGGGGTCCTCCCCACTGCGACCTCCTCGACCTCCTTCACGTTCCCGGCTTCCGGAGCGACCTCCTCGCTTCCGGTTTCAAGTCAATCATTCGCACTTGGCCGGTAGCGATGTTAGAACGGCTAGCGGAATCGAGAAAATCGCTCCGGGAGCTGGGAGCGTGAAATCGCACTGGGGAAAGCCCCGCCCACCTGATGATTTCCCTCCTATATTAGAGCTCTTTTTCACCGTTTTCGCGCTTTCCAATGTGGATTTTCGGATTTAGCGTGGCCAATAGGCCCGTATAAGCACAAAATCTCAAAATCGAGTTTTTGCCCGGACACTGCCTTTAATATAGGTTATAATGCAAATGAAAAGAATTACCGCCACAGGCCTGGTGAATGGGTGCCACTCATTGGGTTGAGCCAGACTTCGCGGGGAAGCGGCGTACGCGGCGTACGCAGCGTACGCTCGGTATATTTCATCATAGGAGCATACGCGGCGTACGCTGCGTACGTCGCGTACGCCGCGCAGTCTGGCCCAACCCATTAGTGAGCGATACGATACTCATATATAAGCAGTGGAATATAGCCTACTAGTTGACTTACCCGGCTCCGCCCGGCCCTGTCATTATTATATTCGTAATCAGCATGCTCGATTACCCCCCTGTGCCAACTCCCAGCCGCGTAGCTCAAATTTTGCAAAAAATCGATAAAATCGATATCTATCGATGATGAAAAGTAGCCTGTGACATCCGCCGGGGCCCGAAGTGTATGTGTGCCAAGTTTGGTCCGGATCGGTTCAGAAATGGAATTTTCTATTTGGAACATACGTACACACAGACATACATACAGACAGGCAGACAGACAAACAGACATCCAGCTTTATATATAAGATGGAGATAATCAAAGGCTATCAAGATTGCAGAGCTACTCAGGTTGACACATAGGTCATCAACACTCCGATGAAGCAAGAAAATGGCGAAACGGGAAAATATCAATTAAGCTAACATTCAATATTGACTCCAGTGGGCTATTCATCAACGAACCTTGGGGGTCAGTATCTACCTTGAGAGCATGCCATGAGGCAGATTTTAACCTTAAGTATTCTGCTAATCACAAATCTGTCGTGAGCTTATATCTACCTCGTGGTCAGCGGAATGCTCATTGACGCTCATTCAGGACATGCTAAGACGCATTAGCTCTGTACGAAGTCCTTCGCTTATTGAATCTTTTAACTGCCAATTCACAGCCTTACAGTGGGTCCACATTACCATGTTTTGGTAGAAAAGCCTTAAGAAACTGAGCAATCATATTTCCCCGTATTTGAGGTGGCATTGAATTCCATTACGTACGAGGTACGCTTCAAGGCTATCAAAATGTATGTAGAGCTAAATTTGAGCAGCACCATATGAACCGCAAGTCGACTTATGTGCCTCTGCGCACGAAAGATTTTGTGTTTAACCGTAAATAGATCTGAACCTAAACTGCACTATAGTATTTGTGTTTAGTCCATTGTTTGTACCAATATTTTTTTACAACAGCTACGAAACAATGTCTCCTGAACAGAATATGCTTTGATGAAAAACTATTTTGATCCATCACCTTTTCCAAACAGCTTGCAACAATGATGAAAAATGAACCTTACCAGAAGCAATCCACCTTTAGTAGCTATTCCAAAAGACAGTTTGCCTCCGGAGAAGTTGTCAATAATTTTCAAGGCTAAAGATTACTGCGTGAGAACGTGTAATTTATAGATGCTCTTCTCCTAAGGTCCAAGCTATCTGCATTGAACGGGAAACGCTGATCTCGCATGAGACAAATGGATTCGTGAAAAGAACTCCCGCGCTAGTCCATCGAATGGGGAAGATTCTGTATAAAGGAGTAATTCAAACTTCAAGTATTATATTATCATCAGCGCAATACCTAGGAGGAAAGGTGATGCGGTGGTATGCTGTCGCGACTGCAAATATGGGGGGTGGCAATATTCATGTACATATGGGCCATACAATCATACATTGTGTCTTTGTCAAACTGTATACAAGCAATTTGAAGCTGGCTCCATGGACGTCGATGAAATTCCGTAATCTGCAATAATTCAAGCATTACTGTACCGCAAACACAGCATGTTCACAATATCATTCAATCTTTGTATCGCTATTAGGACAAAAAATAAAAACATGCGCTAATTTATTCACTATTGTATTGGTGGCTTCTAGGATGTAACCAGGGTAAAGCGGGGGGTGCGGCACGCCGCAGAGGGGGGGTCGTATTGAGGAGTCAAAAGGGGAGGGGGTCGTAGTTAGGTGATCTGATTATAGCGATAACATGATATTCGTATCATATCCATATAGCACGTCAATTAACCCCTGTAGACAAAGTGTGAGCGAATTCTGAAGATTCAAGATACTAGGCTACCTAAGTGAAATGGTCAAATTCCAACATGGTTAACTTTGTTTTAAAGGTGAATTAGCTATCCGTTTTTGCACTCAAAACAAAGCACTACTCCTTCTTTGTCCACCTCAGGAATCCCGCTTCAGAAGACCTCCAAACTGTGGAATTAGAAGCCAACCAAAATCTCATTTTTCCCATTTTTCGCTTTTGATGGCTGTGCTTTCACCAAATATTACTCAGAGCTAAGAAGACGAATCAGGCTCAAAACATCCCTATGGAATCTACGAGGTTTAGGCTATCGATTCCTATAAATATTGTCCGCTAAAAATGTTTTTTTGATATAGTTAATGGCCTGCGGCACCCCCCCCCCCCCTCAAAACCTGCGGCTGCCGCAGGGGTGCCGCAGGGGTGCCGCAGGCCATTAACTATATCAAAAAAACATTTTTAGCGGACAATATTTATATGAATCGATAGCCTAAACCTCGTAGATTCCATAGGGATGTTTTGAGCCTGATTCGTCTTCTTAGCTCTGAGTAATATTTGGTGAAAGCACAGCCATCAAAAGCGAAAAATGGGAAAAATGAGATTTTGGTTGGCTTCTAATTCCACAGTTTGGAGGTCTTCTGAAGCGGGATTCCTGAGGTGGACAAAGAAGGAGTAGTGCTTTGTTTTGAGTGCAAAAACGGATAGCTAATTCACCTTTAAAACAAAGTTAACCATGTTGGAATTTGACCATTTCACTTAGGTAGCCTAGTATCTTGAATCTTCAGAATTCGCTCACACTTTGTCTACAGGGGGTATTTGACATGCTAATTATGGATATGTTGTCCATTATGTTTGACAGAGCCTTCAGGTAATACTATCTTAAGTGTATAGTTTAGGAGGGGGGTCTTATTAAGACAGCAATCAGGGGGGGGTCGTATCCGACGGTCGAGTGCCGCACCCCCCGCTTTACCCTGGATGTAACTCCAACTTGTGCAGAAACCAAGTCTTCTTGTAGCATCCTAATTTCATGAGACAATACGCACCTTCTTCATATTTTCAAACAAGCTGCTCGGCCGCACCGCCGTATCTCGCGCAATGGTTGCTCTCCCACACAATTTAACTAAGGAGCAACAGGGTAGAGGGTCTTTTGCTCGCGAAATTTTTTGTCGTGTCCAGGCTGGTTGAGTTTAGAGGAGAACATCTGCGTTTTGTACTCGTGAAATTAGGGTATTCTACAGTGCTGGACATAATTATAAAGCCACTCTTGGTGCAAAAGTTTTGTCAGTTTTTTCAATCCATTGGCAAGCACGCTAGAATGAAGATAAACAAACACTTCAAGAAGTATCCAATGCAGAATTTCTTCCTCTTTCCAGCTGCTAAACTCCCGATGTGTTTCGTTGAGAAAATGATGAGATATTTGCCGGAAATTACAATCACTCGTTTTTACCATGTCCAACTTTCACTAATTTTCAAAATTTTTGTATGAGATTTTCGGAGGAGCCCCAATAATCTCCAGATAGTGAAAACCTTTTGCCAACAGAAGCAATTTTTTATAGCTCTACGCCTTGTCTTTTAGAATTTCTACGAAATTTATGGGGAAAATCGCAGTATTTCTCAATTTCATGAGTGCGCACTGACGTAACCTATGTTTTAAAATCTTCATAATTTAGAGCGAAAATCGCTCATTTACTTTGCAATGGTAGCGGCAGGTGTTGAAACCTCAGTATTCTGTAGGTTTTGCAGTGTTCGGTACAATAAGGTTATGCGATTTTTCCAAAACACAAGACTTTCAGAAAATTACTTAGCAAAATCCTGAAAAAGCAGCTTTCAAAAAGAAAAAAATTGTTCCTGCTGGCAAAAGGTTTGCCCTATCTGGAGGTTATCAGAGCTCCTCTGAAAATCTCATACAAAAATTTTGAAAATTAGTGAAAGTAGTACATGTTAAAAACGAGTGAATGTAATTTCCGGCAAATATCTCATCATTCTCTCAACGAAAGACAACGAGAGTTTAGTAGCTGGAAAGGGAAAGAATTTTTGCATCGGACACTTCTTGAAGTGTTTGTTTATCTTCATTCTAGCGTGCTTGCCAATGGATTGAAAAAACTGACAAAACTTTTGCACCAAGAATGGCTTTATAATTATGTCCAGCACTATATTATGCATGGCCCCTAATCTAGGTAGACCATTTCGTCTCAACATTACCGCAAGGTACATTTTTAAAATATTTTCAATTGAATGCAGTTACTGACACAACGAATGCTAACGTCTCCTATTTCAACATACAAAAGGGTCTTCGACTTATTCTAAAAATATTTTCGATCATACAATGACGTATATTATATGCCATTCAGCAACTAGAACTCACTGGAAATCGGAAGCAAAGTCTTACCAAGCTATTCTGGGAAGTTCTCTTTTCATCTCAAAATTCATTTACTTGGGAAATAATGCAGAAAATGTGTAGGCAATTGATCACAAGCAAGACTGGACGCCTTGGGCTGACTGTGATAGTTCGTGCTGGAAGAGAGCAGACTGCAAGGGGGATAAAACGCTAGAACAGCGATACGCCGGCAGCGTCCGTAGTGAGCCCTGTCTTCTCATGCGATGTAGATAACGTCTTTACGTGCTTTGCTTACCGATAACAATGGCAGCTGCAGAAAACTGGGGATGTTCAGGAAATTTCTATATCGCTCAAGAAATGCAAAAAAGCTACCAATTTTATTTAAAAGAATACTAGAATAAACGAATTTGACACCTTGCAATATGTATATCATTGCAAGGTGTCAAAAGACGTGTATTCAAATATTCTTTATAAAATATTCTCTTATTCTTTGAAAACTATTAGGTTGATGCAAAAATGGCCTTGCAAACTCTCACTTTGAAGTGCTATTTTTCTAAAAAAAAACTATATTCCCGAGTGCAGTAAAGATCATCAGATCCAGCAAACCTTTTGCATACAACGCACATTGAGCTATACTCACTTCACAAACGGGCAGAAATATGGATTGAAAAAGAAAAAGAATTTTTTTCTCCGACGTTTCTCTGACAGATCATAACTCCCTTTAAAGCCTTTTAGTATAAATGATGTGTTGCTTATCTTGTAGCCGCAAAATAGTAGGAAGGGGATAGAAAGGGCCTTGACAAAGGAAATTTGCAAAAAAGGACTAAAATTTAAAATTATCAGTTTTTTCAAGATTTTCAGTAGGTCTCAAAGTCCCATATTGTAGAATTTACTAATTTTCGGCGTAATGTACAGATGAAAGCTCTTGCAACAACTGTCAAGAGGATGCCCTACCCCGCGCTTACAGATTGAGCAAAGCTTCGGCGATTCTCTTTTTTAAAAGAAGTTCATGGGCCACATAATGATCAAAAAGGCCAACCATGTTAAGGCGTCGATATCTCGGTTTAGATAATTCTGAGAGAATGCTAAAGTATGCATAATGTAGACAATGTCTTTTACATACAGCAACTAAATTTTTGGAGAAGCGCTCCCGTTCGGGCTCGAGTTCTGGCCAGGAAAGTGAATGCAACGAAATTCTGATTTTGGATTCTGTTATATGAAGCTCTGTAACTTTCTAGAACATGGTGCTGGTAACCGGCTTCAACCATTGCTAGATAGAGCATGAAAAGTTCCTCTCAAGGGTACTCTATGGTTGCTTCAAAAAGGGAATTTTGGTGGAGCAATGTTTTGAAAAAGCTCGGAAAACGGCCATCATTTTTGCATCAACCTAATATAATTAGATGAGCAAAAAAGATGCAAGTGGTAAATTTAAGGTTGTAGCAATTACAAATACACTTACTTCCAAGAACAGTAATATCACAACTGAATGAATGTAAGATTACAGCATTTCAAAGGAGAAAATGTTATTCAATCCCATTTTAATATTATATTATTACAATAATTAATACAGGGTGTCCCAAAAGTAAGTACACACTTTTCAATCGTTAATATCTTTCTTCTCAATGGGTCTTTCTTTGCCGGTCAAGCGCCATTCTGTAGAGGAGGCTTCAACTTAGATTCACAGCACCGAGAGAGTAACCGATTGCTCTTCTTTACTGTATGGTTAGTGTAGGAACTACGACAAGGATTTTAGGCCATTGGAAGCCATATTCGCCTCAGAACAAAACCAAAGAAGCCAAAAACTCTTATACTATGATAATGGATGCCGCTGATTTCGAATATGAAACTTCCAATTTACTGCGATGCTTCTTTTTAAAGTTATCCGAGGTAAACCGTGATAACCAAATTCCCAGCATTTGTCAGAAATGTGATTATACCGTCAAAAAACCTGCGAACACTCATAAAAAGTTGTGTAATGAAATCAGCGGGCGCAAAAACCCCAGTACACGATTTTTCAGATTTTTTGGAAAATTTTTGTCAGATGGCATATTTCATAATGGTTCCACATGCGGCAAGTTCTTACCGTAATCTCACAGTAACGAAGAGCGATCGGTGACTCAACCAATACTGTAAATCTAAGTTGAAGCCTCCCCTATAAAATGGTGCTCAATTGGCGGAAGAAGACACAGCGGAAAAAGAGATATTAACGGTTGAAAAGTGTGTACTTACTTTTGGGACACCCTGTATAATATTATATATTATATTATTACAATAATTTCCTTCATACTTCTGCCAAAATGAGGCGAGTCAAATGTTACGCCGAACCTTTGATGTGCTTTCCGCGAGCACATATCCCTGCGTTGACTTTATTTCCATTTACTCCAATTCGTTTCGAGCTGTTCCAGTAATGGCATGTTGCCCCTACATTGTTGTCAATGTTTCTTCTTGGCTTTTCAGCCATTTTTCTTTATTTTTTATCGGACTTTTATCTAGTTGCGCAGTGCTACTACTCCACTGTTTAATTAAGGCCCTAATAGATGAATTCATTTCTAGATAAAATACTTGGGCAGCTTAGAGCTTTGATATGTCAATCATTGAGCTGAGAAAGTCAAATGGCATAAATGTCATCTAGTAAAGCTTGGCTGTAATAATGGCACAAGTTGGAAAAAATGTTTTCCTGCGAGGTAGGAGCTCGCACGTACTGCAAATCGCTGATGCGTACTTGCCATTGAAGTCTGAGTTTTGATGATTCGCCCAATTATTATCATCAAATTTTCGAAGCCTTGTAAAACATGACTAGATGAGAGGAAGATAGACTGTTTAAACATAAAATGTGAGCTAGTAGTAGATAAAAATATGTGTCTTCAAAAACGCTTTCGTTGAAGAAGTCTTCCCAAAAGGTGCAACATTCTCTGCAAAAAGTCAAGGTAGATTTTGACCCTAGCTATCCTAAGGTTTCTGCCATGAATGCGTAATGCAAAGTTGAAGGAGGACTGATGATTGAGGTAGATTTTAACCTCAAGGTAGGTTGATGAAAACGGGTTTATGCTTACGAGGTTGAATTCTACCTCAAAATAGACTTAATCCATGAAAAAAATTCCTTTGCGATCATGTTGTAAATACGGGTCATAAGCCAAAATGCTAGGTAAGATAGATTTCTTGGGCCCTTTGATAAACGGGATATTCAAGCATTTTATGAAATTTTGTTCGCGTATGATTACGCAGATTTGGAAAGGCTTGTGATATGCAAAAATCTTGGAACAAATTTCGGCGAGACACTGCTTTGACCTCCAGCACCTCAAGTTCCACGCACAAAAAGGGCCGTTTTGGCACTATCTTTCTCTTTGGCTTCCGTGTTGGGAGAGAAACCTTATTAAATTAGAAGAAACTATGCGAATTGCAATTAACAGCTTGCGAAAATCTGCCGTAATTAGGTCGTTCTGAAAGTATTAGGCTGTCCGGAAAATAATGTCGCATTGAATCCTAATGCAGCAGAGTAAGCACGAAACAGTGATTGGGGTGTCATCTGATAGAGCTGAGTAAGCTCTACAAAACGACATCCAAACATTTGCGCATGATGAATTTAGAGTTTGAAGTCAAAATATGAAAAATTTCAAATACTCGAAAAGATCGAATTTACGTCTGTAGAACTCACCCCACATCAGACGTTTACGCGTAATGTTTGTGGAATTTTTGCATGGCTAGAACGACAAACCAAATTAGGTCAAAAGTGAGAATATGTCGAGTTTTTCGGGAGTTTTTTGCGATAAATGTGGTATTTCTCGAATACAAGCCTTTGTAGAAAGCAAATTCAAGGTTATACTTCCAAAGGCGTATACTAGAAGGTCACCCATCTAGGATGAGCTGAAGATTGATTTGGCAAAACACATCAAATTTCGTTTTCGCGATTTCTAGCATGGAAAAAATCACGAAAATGAGCTTACAAGTGTCTTGTGTTGAAAGAGTATGCTTGAGCAAGGGGGCTTCCAGTTTTTTTTCGGACGATTAAACGATTTTTCTCGATTTTTCTGGGATTTAGTGTCTTTCAAATTGACTCCAAACTTTGGACAAATCAAACTTGTTGCGAAGGTTCATTTTGTGGCGCTTTCTTTTGTCTATTGAAAGTAACCCATTCACTTTTTATCGTGTTCACCTTGGCAATATTATAATAAAGATTACGATGGGACCTTATTTTCCGGACAACCTAATAATTTTGCATTCCTTGACTGAGCGCCACCTTCAGAATGAAGTTTGGAGGAATTCTTGGTCGTGTTTGATGCAGCTTTATCTCCTCATATATGTTATAACTTTGAGGTGAAATCCCCAAGAACTTTCCGCAAAGATGCTGATAACTGTCAACCGCTACCTTGCCTGGATTCAAATTCATCCGAGATACCTGACAGTATACGAGCAGATATGCATAGCAGTATTACTCCTGTTTCAAGTTCTTGGGTGGTCGCTTTTGATTTTTCAGATATGTTTTTCTAAACCTTGTCAGCCTATAGAAAAGACTTAAAAAATGAAAGCAAAGGATGTTCTTAGGGCTGGGCATCGTTCCGGGCTGCACTGAGATCTTAATCAGCGGTCATGACTCAATTGGGGATTATCACCAAGATATGAACCACGAAATTTTTGAGGATTGGGTGCGGGAGGCAATTCCGTGGATGAAGAGAGTAGCAGGGGGTCGTACCGTATGTCTGGTGATAGATAATGCACCCTACCTTCAAAACAGTTGAAAAGGGTCATTACCACCATGAAAGCAAAAAGAACATCTAATAGCTCAAATTAAGGTCCACAACAAATCTTCTACGAGCTGTTATAGAGCGGTACCTGCAGTCAGATCGCCTAGCGGTCCCACAAGTTTGCACAAACAGTACCTTTTGGAAAAAGTACTTTTCTTTTTGCGTAAGTCCAGTTGCGCAAATTATCCGTTTTCTTCTAGCTCCAGGAATTCGCATCCAGCCGCGGAGGCATATCTGCCTTGCGCAGTTATGCCGTCGAACACATCTGTGCTGGGCTTGGAGCAGTAGTGGTGAGGCTTCCGCTTTTCCACTACTTCTTCAATCCAATAGAAATGTGTTGGGGTCTGATGAAGGGGGGGGGGCAGGCGTTATGGAGCAAAGCTACGCCGCAATTCCCCTGCAGCATATCCTGAGAAACATTTGCGGTGCGTCGCCTTTAATTGCAGCCGCAGGAGTAGCGCTGCTCCTGACAGCTTGAGCTAATCTCTAGTGCTACGCCTTGATTTTTCAAAGCGTATTGCAATGAAGAAACCAAAACTGAAAAAAATGAATGAATTTTTGGATTCAGAGACTAAATCTGGGATGATTCAAATACCAAATTAATTTGAAAGGTATTCAAAAATAGTGGAACTCGAGAATTCGGAGAGAATAGGGGTAGGCATTTCCCATCGTGACTTTCTGTAGAGAAACCAATTTCCTCTTCTTTTACTTTCGCTTGGGTTCTGTTTTACAGACATTTCCTTGTCACATTTTACTTTTGTTTCAGTAAAATTCGTTTATATTCCTCATATTTTATTGATCTAATTATCATGGAGAATGTGGAGAATGGTCAATCTGCTGGGTGCAATTAGGAGCAACGCAGCGCAAAGGGTCCTCAGGATTACCGCAGGCAAATGCGGCGTAGCTTTGCTCCATAACGCCACGCCGCCTGATGAAGGGGTATCTCGCAAAGATGGAAATCCCAATGACTCCCTCCAGATGGTAGGCCATAAAACCGATTGATAAACACTCAAAAAAACAATTTTTCAAAGTGAAAGAAAGAGAGCTGCGGTGGATGAGAGAGGTACCACGAGAACTGTGTAATAATGGGTCACGCACGCCATGCAGAGGAGGAAGCTGCAAGGGGACAGATAACCATCGATCTTCGTAATAGTCAAGTAACGTTACTCACACTATGGAAAAGCAGCATATATTTGTTTGTAAGCCGTGAGCTCGTTAAATCCGTCCTCGTCAAGCGATAAGACAGGCCTCGCCGAAGATGACTATCTTGACTTAGACTTCTTTAGAAGTTATGAGTGATATCCAACTATCCCATTTTCTATACTCATCAATATTGGCCCGCTTGCTCAGCGGGGTCGATCTAGTGTACCTCCCCATTTTCGAAAAAGACAACCACCAGCCAGCCATCAATACAAAACAACACCAAACCATTTTAGTTCCTTTCAAAAATTCCCTCAGACAGATTCAAGGCAACCTCAATATAGTCCTGCGAGTCTTTTCGTATACCAAACACTCTTACTGATGTGCTCATTGTCCTTATAGATGCATAAACTTTGATAGAAGGATTTCGCAATAATGAGGTTTGCTAAACAACAAGTGCTCTCACAGCAGTGCGATTTATGGACATACTTGACAAGGTTGAGTGAGCACAACAACGGATAAATTGAAAAAGAACTTTCAGAAACAAAAAGACAATGGCAGTATACATTATATGAAGTTCAGTATGAAAACCCACCGATACGTCGTATCCAAATTGCGCGTAATTGGCGTTGCACTGCTTTCACGATCCTCACCAGATCACACGTTAGCGAAATGATACTCACTGGAGCTACTGAGTCATAATTTATGACTTGTGCGCAGGGAAATTAACGCGTGAACTGTTTCTGCATGTAAATCAGAATTCACAGGTACGACAAGTGCACTAACATGATATAAGCGGTGGTCCAATACAAAGAGACAACTCCTCCAAAGCCATCTTAGGGTTCATTGTCAAAACAAAATAATCCATTGATGGACCACAAATAAGTCCCGATAATGAAGAACGTTCCTTAGCCAATCATAGAAAAGCAGTGGATAATTGAACAATGAAATAGTGAAAAAACTGAGAGAAAATCAAGATTGAAGAAAGTAAGTGTATTTTGACATTTAGAGCTGTGACTAATTGTAAGTACCAAGTGCGGTAAGCCCAAAGCCCGTTCACTACTCAATCGGGAAGCCATCAGAAATTGTAAAGCATGAAAGTGATGTTTTGATCACTTGATACAATGCAGAGCGAGGAATCCACTTACCTCATGGAAGTGATATAGAGAAAACAGAATAAAGAACGGAATTTGCAAGCCATCTTCATCGAAACTGGCGAATGACCCGCGGCGGCGCACCTGCGCGCCCCGCAGAGGACTCTTGGCCGCGCCGCAGGCCTGTGCGACAGCTCAACCTATCCGTCTCTTGCGCCTTCATCATGCAGCAGCCTTTAAAGTAATATTCGAAAATCGAAAATTTTGAAGATAAAACGAATAAACGAATGACAAACTTGAAAGTCAAAAATTTCGAATGAACGAATTCTGAATAAATGAACATTGATTCGAATGATTTACTCGAATGGCTAGACATTTGGATGAACCATTTTAATATATGCACGGTGTCCCAAAAAATGCCACTGTTTGATCTTTGATAACTCTCTTGCTTTAAAGTCTTTCAGCTTGCGAAACCATTCTGTAGAGCAAGGTTCAACTTAGATTTACAGCATGGACCGAATCATCGATCGCTCTTCATTACTGTAGGATTAGCCCAGCCCAGGTATGAACTTTCAGCATAGAGCGCCACTATGGAATGGCCTTTGAAGGAAAGAAATCCAAAAAATCTGAAAAATTGTGTAGTAAGGTTTTGCGTGCTGATTTCACTACGCAACTTTTCACCAGTTTTTTGAGCTCTTTCAATGGTGTAGTCACACTCCTGACGAACATTAGAAAAAAGGTTGTTACACTGAACCTGAAATAACTGTGAAAGAAGCATTACAGGGAAACGCAAATTTCATATTTAGAACCAGCGACTTCGATTAGTCCAGTACAATGGTCTCTGGCTTGTTTGTTTTCCGCCCGAGGCAGAAATCGCTTTCAGTTTTCCAAAATCCTTCTCGAAGTTCATACCGTAATCCTACAGTAACGGAGAATTATTGTTGATTCAGTCCATGCTGAAAATCTAAGTTGAACCTCGCTCTACAGAATTGTACCTCAAGCTCCTCGAAAGACTTCAAAGCAAGAGAGTTATTACCGATCAAACAGTGTTAACATTTCTCAGGACACCCTGTATATTCGAATGATTTATCCAATATCTGGAACATATCTGAAATTTGCTGACATACCCAGCTCGGTTAGTGTTGAGTCCTTATAGAAATCATTTCGTCCCTCTCGCAGACAACATTTAGCTTTCGCGCCCCTGTGTCGTTCCGTATTCCAGTTCCCTGTCCTCACTGCGTCTTCGTAATCAGCAACCCTCACCCCGGTGTAACAACCTCTAGCGTTTCAACCTAAGGGTGATCAGAACCGTTAAATACATGGAGTTGTTCTAAGCTAATCTTCTCCACATATGCTCACTCCTCCTCCCTTTCAATAGTATAATTCCCATGTTCTCAGCTCAGTGTTCGCAAGAAGTCGATAAAAAACGATAAAGAATCTTTATCAATAACTAGCATTTTTTCACTTACACCCGTTACAATCAGCACACTCACTTGCCTCCCCATACCAAACCCAAACGCCAAAAGTGATGGAAAGCCTGCACGGATGCAGATGTGAAGTTTCAAGCAATACCAGCACGGCATTGACGGACGCATGAAAGAGAACAGCTCAGGATGATACATGACTACTTTGGGCACTTGGACGATGGAAGCAACATGAATCAAAAGATTTGTTCACCATATTGCAGGCATTCGCCGGAATTAGAAACAGTTCATTAGGTTCTTTTACATCTCTTTTCAGTGCATGATGCAAGCTTATTTCCTTTAGCTTCGTTCTTACATTAACGATGGTCTATTATTAATCACTTGATCACAAGTTTTATTCAATTTATTGAAATAAACTATGAAAGCAAAGAACAATCACATTCGGATCTGTACAAAAAACGAAACCATCCTCACTAAACTACTGACAACTCCAGAATTCGCTTCAGTGGTTGTTCTAAACACTATCTTTAGCAACAGTTTGTTTATGAAGGGCACCCAAACCTACCTTCTCCTCTACTACCTTCTTAGCATGTTCCATCCTTCGTTCTGTTTCTCGGCGAATATCCTTTTCAGTCTGACGAACCTATATCACAACGATAAATGTCATAGACCGTAACGTAATGATCATATATAGTTCGGATTAGGATCGAAACTCACACCACCCTCGTACGTTCCCTTACCAGACTGCGTAGCGTCTCTGGCACTGGCAGCGGCTTCCTTCGCCTATGATGAAAAAGTGCTTTCTTAGAAAGTTGAAAAAACGGAGCATGTGATAAATTACATTTTCATAGCCTGTTTCTTCCATGAACCTATTGCCTTGTCCAGCTGGAGCCACCTATAATCAGCTAATAAGAGAGGAAATTTGATTACTACCATGAACTTATCTCCTCGTATTTAGCCTTCACCTTCTCCTTGATAGCTTCTCCAGCTTTGCTCACTTTTTCCATGGCTGCGCCAACCACACCTTGGGCCTTGTCCCCGACATCACGGATTTTACTGCACTGTGCAAGACCAAAGTGGATTCTTTTTGCTTCCAGGGAATTCAACAACTTCACGCTGTTCTGTGCCAATATTACTGATCTGGACGCCATAGCAACTAACAATAATCTGAGAAAAATTAGTTCAGGCTCGTTTTCTAAAATTCGATATGAACAAATGAATAAACAGCATTATTGAGTGGTCTAGAGAACATCAATAAAGCCACGCACATAGGAAATGCTAGCGAAATGTTCAAAGACCATCGGAACCTTGTTTACCACACTGCTTCTCTGCTGAAACCATGGCCAACATCGCGTCCGCCTGGTCTCTGACCGCGACATCGATTATGGTTTAGAAACAATGCAGTAATCTTAATGATTCAGTTGCGTGAAGCTTACAGCAATCTTGAGAATAGCTTTAATGTGCTCAAAAATCGTTTTCAATGCAGTAAAACTTGTCAAGGAAATGACAGAGACGGCTACCTGTAAGAGCTAACCATCTCCATCCTTGAAATGTGTTCAATAGAGAAAAATTCATTGCGATTGATGGTTAGTTGGGTCTGGTATACAGTTTGGCCTTTGTTCTCATGGTTTAAGCGGGTGTCGATTTCTAAGCTCTGTTAAGTTGGCTAAATAATATCCGTCCTAAGAGCTCCTACAAATACTGGAGACAAGTGCCCAATGCTGTATCTTTGGAAAAAGTCTTTAATGAGAATGAGATCGATACTAATACAATTCAATACTCGAACAAAATTCTCTCCTCCTGCGAAAAGAAGGCGCAAAGAAGTGAAAAATCCCAAATTAGTCATTTCGCGCAAATGCAGAAATGATGAGCACATAGAAAACAGTTTGATGTACACAAATACCAAATTAATAGAACCAAGTTTAGAAAGTCAAAGAATGAGCTTCAAAATTCGGCCATTAGGGCATAACTATCCTTCACTGTTATTAGAAAATTCTGATTAGTTGATGTATGATAGCAGAAGCTGAATCACTACAAGTGTACACAAAAAACATGAAAACAAAATTACCTTTTAGCCAGTTTAATTTGAACCGTTTCACATTCAGCATTACAGTCATATTCAGAAAAACGGTTGTATCTCAGTCAATTTTTGTCGAACATTGTCTTGGTCAGTGTATGACGACGTAAGTCCTCATGATTATCCCAATGTACTAATTATGAAATCTGCTCACCTGGGGGCTCCCCATAGTTCAGGCAAAAATTGCTTATGTAGACTGTTATTAGTGAAGAATTTTCAACATATAAGGCGGCATCGCTAATGTTGTTTGCGATCATTTGAGTAAAACTCTATGAAGTTTATATATTTTGCAAATGAACCATAATTCAGTGATAAAACGGCCAGATACTGAGAGAAGTTTGCTAAAGCTGTGTATACCTTCAAGGATTATATTTCGCTAACTTATTCATGACGAATTTTTTTAAACTTCTCGCACACTGCTGAAGTCCCATGCATCCATTATTTGCACTCACGGTTCAAAAATTTGGGAACGACATATTATGCACTGCCCCTAATCTAGGTAGACCATTTCGTCTTAACATTACCGCAAGGTACATTTTTTAAATATTTTCAATTGAATGCAGTTACTGACAAAACGAATGCTTTCGCCTACATTGCTAATTCATTATCGTGTCGCTTTTGAAGTTCTCTACGGATTAGCCGTGTTTCCAAAAAAATTTCAAAAACATCATATGTCGAAAACCTCAAGTATTCGACGTTCAAATAATGTGGCTCTGTTTAGCCTAGCGTAAAGGCTTCCAGGCTGTTCGGTTTGCTTTCTGTGGCGGAATAGGGTCCTCAATATCTCGGAAATTTCTTGAGCTTAATACCGTAATCCCACAGAAATGAAGAACGACCGATAATTCGTTCCGTAGTAATCCAAGTTGAAGTCAGCACTACAGAATGATTTTCATAGGTCTCCCAGAGATTACAAGGGAATAGAGTAACCAAACATTGGTTACACACTTTCGGGACACCCCCCCCCCTGTATAATATGAAAATCGATTCATTTACGGAACGGAGCAAACATGGGAATCTCGATGCTGCTTTACTCAATAATAATTATAATAATCAGAATAACACAAAATGTGCAGAGAGTACAGTAAAGCACATCGTTATTGTGCTGACTTTACCACTCTTATGGTAAAGTCTAAGATGTGTTGGCTGACCAGTCTTATGGAAAGCCGGTACTTGGAGTTTGATGGCTCCTTTTGTGTCTATACAGAACACATAAGCTTATACAAGCTTTATTGAGACATCATACCCTCAATTGGGCAATGGTAGAATGCTGCTCCTAATAGGCGGAGCAAGGGAAGGTAATGCATATCAATATAAAGATATGACTTGAGGTCGCGAGTTGGTGACCTCAAGCTACAAAGGAGTCTAAGTTAGGAGGAATTGATAAGATTGGAAGAGGTGCCGAATATTTCGGCACAGTTATATATTACGCTAAAGACAGTCAGATCTTCAGTTCACGAATGGCTTTTGTGCATGTTTTTCTTAGCCGCTTCGATCTGCAATAAATTTTACATTTAGGCATGTATGATCAGTGAAAACGAAACCAACGCCTTTTTTCACTCCCGTGAGTTTCTCTGACATATTGTCGAGTATATTTTTCGCTTCGTCATTATTCTGAAGATGAAATCAGAAAGATGTCCAGTCTCTTAAAATGTATTTGGAAATGTATTTACCACCGCATCATGAGTAGTTTCAGCGATGTCCTTCAACTCTTTGCCAGAATCGACCAATTTCTCTTCTTCTGTCGGTAGCTCTTTTTCTTTATTGCCGATTTCTTGTTTGAATTCATTCTGCAATTCAATTCCTAGATTCTTCAGATGAAAGAGCAAAGGTTCTCACGTCTTTATCCATTCTCGCAAATTATTTGTAGTGGGGATCTGGAAAGGAAATGTATTTCCGTTTTAGCAAAAAATGAACTGAAAAGCGAATTTTCGAGAGAAATGCCGCTCCCTCGTCTGGTCTAGTTCTCATGTTTTCTGTTTTTTCAATATGTTTGCAGCCATGAGGCCTTGTTTACGAGTTGTGCGGATCGGCGCGATCGATCCTCTCAAACGAGAGCAGAATGGACAACAACATAATGGCGTCGAGAGCGAGATCTATGAGCTTAGAAACTTCGGACGAAGTTTTGCATAGGAAAAACGATGGCTTGAAAATGAGGCTAGGAGCTCCTTGTGCGACCTTCAGATTCCGTAGAAATTGAAAAAACCTCATATCTCCATTACAATAAGAAACACTACAAAAATGGACAAATTGGCTATGGTATTGTATAAAAAACTACTCTGACCAACGCATACTTAACCGAATTTAAACAGAAGCAGAAATATTAATGCTTGTTAACAGGAAGAAATTCTAACATCAAAGACGGATTGCGTCTCGAAAGGCCTTGATTTGAATGTTGTAATCGGCTTGCGATTGAGCCAATCAAATTTTGATGGTCCACGAATGCGATGTCCAGCCTAGCCAGATATGTATTTTGTATGCGGAAATTTTATTTAGCTGCAGATGTTTAGTTAAATAAACTCAGGTGCAAGGTCGCTTAGACAATAATGAAAAAAGGACCACGCTGGCATAACACCACCAAAAATGGGCTTCACGCAAGCACCAAAAAACATCAGTTAAAACACGCATACCCCGTTGTCTAATACCCTACTACTTTAGATAGGTACGTACGTGGATTTCAGGATTTCTACGCTTAGATTTGCCTAAGCATCTTCGTAACTGAAATACTCAGTATTTGAACCATCAAGACAACATAGCAGTTTTCACATAGCAACAAAGTAAACTGTAAAATATGCACTAACAGCTAAAGCGGAGTTGAGGGAACGAGGCTCGATGGTTATATAGTTTCTGGACCGTCTAAAGAAAGACTACTAGTTGACCGTCGATCAAAATGTGTCTTCTACAGTCGCCGAAAACAAAGCACTCAATTTCTAGCACTCCTTAGAGACACTGATGCATGGAATTCTTCTGCTGTTTATGAGAACTAAAATTTCATCTATGAACAGTCACATGTCCAGATGTGAATAAGGATATTTCGGTGACTATGGCTATCTGCTTGGCAAATTAATGTCACACAATCGAGCGAGATCGAGTCTTATTATTTTTTGGACTTTCGGTCCAATATCATCTCGGTTTTGCATAAGGTGCGAATACATGGTGAAGCTACGTACACAACATATAATTAGTTTTGTCCATTTTTAGCCACTAGACTTAAGTGGAGCGTTTCCTAGGCTACTGCGACGGTAGAGAATGTATTTAAACATAAGAAAGATGACATCCAGCACCGAGAAGACATGCCGCTTGCAGCCAAGATCTAGAAATCTTCGAATACTCGTAAAACTCCATCCGATCATTCCTACAGACCAATTTTTGTGAAATTTTATGCGAATGTTAGTGGGTTATCTTAGGTGGTTAGGTGCATCTCATCTCGAATAGTTTACAAAACGGCCAGTAATGAAAAGCAATGAGTGCCATTTTCGAGGGAACCATCCTATGAAACGAGTTAATATTACAGAATGCTGGAGAAGCAGCACTCATATAAAAAGTAGCATGGTAGTGTCCTGGTTTTTTGTGAATGGAATCGAATAGATATTCATCACTAGATTTGGCTTACGAGAAAACAATTTCCAAAAAATCCATGGCGAGGCAAATGAGCCAACGAGTCGATCTGAAATTGGGAGCTTTACGTCTGTTTCCATAAGCGTGGAGCCCCCTTTTTGCCAAAAAAATTTCTGATTTCCGGATCGATGAGGTTGCGACCGCTCAGCTCCACTTTTGTACTAATAGTTTGGAATTTTTTCCGTTCAGGCAAGCCTGAGTGGAGAACAGTCCTGCAAAACAACTACTAGGAAAAGATTCACTGGAAGATGCTTTACTTGTTCTTTGCAACAGCCAAGTTTCATACACATACTCTGACCAGCGCCCAAACAATTGCAGAAGTTCGCAATGTATCGCTCTTTTTCATTCTCATAGCGGTTTCGCAATGGTCTCAATTTCTAACTTACAAGTTCTCATTAACTCGGATTAATTTGCATATTGTGATTTCTATGAAATATAAAGTGACTGGCTCTGTGACAGCAGGCGATTTTCTACAAGGGAAATTTACATACCCATAAGAAATTTACATTTACATAAGAGGGAGAAAAAACTTGAATCTTTTTTGGATCAGAACACAATACATAGAAGTATTATTACTTGCTCCTATTTTCATGACTAATACAGATGAACAAATCCTGGATTATCGTATATCTCTACGAATAGTCAGATGCTCGAGAATAAAGCGCTATTGGAAGTGATCAAAGTTTAAGTGATTCCCTTCTTTTTTCCGAAGACATTCGAACACTGAGGAAATCTCAGTTATGTATGTTATGAAACAATCAAATTTTTGGGACGATCTAATCTAGAAATACTTCTGCGGAATCGTTTTTTTTTGTGAAACAGTTCTCAAGCGAGTGGGTTGCTTTCATCAAATTTCTAGAAAGAATCTCCGCAACGAATCCCCTTTTCGTATGTATCGTACTATTTAGTAAACATTCAACCAAAATTACAGCAATCACGAATTGCTAGCTATTACAGGGACCTGTACGGTACAAGCTGCGAAGCGAAAGGTTCGACCGGAAAAAATGACAACTTGAGAATCTTAGAGTCATGCAAGCTCTTCTCTCAGTAAATACCAAACCTTTTCAAGTCCAAAAGAAACTTGCAGGGTGACCTGACAAAAGCCCCAAAAGGTATTCAAAAATAAAAGAAGCCAGCAGCTGCAAGATTTGAAACGGTTGTTGCCCTTAATCTAATAAAATATATCGCTTTGTATAGCTCAGAATCGCAATTAGGTAGATATTAAAAGTAAAGATATGCAGTCAAACAAGACTATGGGCAATTGTACGTAATACACTAGCCAACAAATATATATTAGGTTGTACCGAAAGTTCTGTCGTTTCTTTTTTGAAAATTTGTAACTTTGCGCTGTTTCAACGGATTTGCTTGCCTTTAATTTTATTAGAAAGGATAAGTCTTTCTCTTTCAAATGCTGTTTTGCGGAGCTTCTGCTTCACATTGGGTGCGGAGATAAAAATGGAAAACTAAGAGCATGTAAACTTTGACCATTTTAAGTTAGGTCACCAAAAATCTGTAATGCTCAAACTCAAACTAAAAGAAAAATCTGAAATCGCAAGTACATATGTTTTTTGACCTACCCTTTGCATCTGTGAAAAAATTGTGCTGTTTGGACGTCTCTGTGAGAAGTTATGAATAACGAGTTTACTATGGAAAACGCCAAAATTAATTAATTTGTCATTTTTCGCGCAAATCATAACTTCTCACAGAGACGTCCAAACAGCACAAACTCTTCATAGTTGCAAAGAGCAGGCCAAAAAACATATGTACTGACGATTTCAGATTTTTCTGCAGCATTACAGATTTTTGGTGACCTAACTTAAAATGGTCACAGTTTACATGCTCTTAGTTATCCATTTTTATCTCCGCACCCAATGTGAAACAGAAGCTCCGCAAAACAGCATTTGAAAGAGAAAGACTTATTCTTTCTAATAAAATTACAGGCAAGCAAATCCGTCGAAACAGCGCAAGTTACAAATTTTCAAAAATGAAACGACAGAACTTTCGGTACAACCTAATATTACGGGAGTGGGGTGATCGAAATCGCGAAATGAAGGCTCTGATGTGATGAGAGCATCGATTTCAAAATTCTTCCTATTTCCTTTCGTTTGGAATGGATCTTTCTAAGAAGCGGTTCACCCGAAAAATTTCTGAATCAAGATCAGTTTTACGGAAGCGATGTATTTGTACAATTATTTATGAAAAATTGCCAAAGGCATCAGCGAACCTATAGGGTGCGCCGAAATCACCGGCGCATGTTCTCTTGGGTGCCAGAAGGATACTTGACGAGCTTGAGGTTGGATCGAGGATGCGTTTGTTTTCATCAACCATCATTATGGTAATGCATTAGTCAAACCAGAATTTGGCTGCTTTATCTTTCGAAAAATCCTAATTTCTCTCGCCGACCGAAGTGTGCTCCGTACGCAAACATGATTTTGAAAAACTACGTAACATCTTTTTAGCAACACTTTCTCTTGCCTTGTAATTGCGCAGGAAAACAGAGCAAGCTTTCGTCTCCAACAGAGCTAAGTATGGAAGTTTTAAAATCAATAAATCAATACAAAAAGAATATCTGATTTTTCAAAAATTTTTCATGGTGAGAGGCGGCATACCGAAAATTGGCGTAATTTTGGTCTTTCTGAGTGGCCCTTAGGATTAGAAAATGTCTTCTAAATCACATTCAAAACTCTCTCAGCTAGTCGCTTCTATCTAGATGCTCTTCTATTTGTCTTACGAATAGGAAACTGTTTTTATCTGAAAGGTTTTGCATCTATGGGGCTTAATAATCGATTTTGAACATAAGGTTATTGATCGTACGCAGGTATTTTCGCAAATTAATACATTACAATACAATACATACGATACATAAAAATTTCATATTTGCTTTTCGTAGAATTACAGGTCTGATCCTTCTAATTCTCAGGTTCTTGGTAAGAGGTCTTTTTGAATTCAATGAAATGCATTTTGTAGAGATTGATTATTGCCTTCTATGGCACAAATTTGTACTTGTATTTTTCAGTGTTTCCTTCGTGGCAATGTTTGTAAAGTTAGCGCCTTGATTTTGGCGCACCCTGTAGAAGTACAACAATGTCATCAGTTTTACTAAACTATCCTGGGAAAAACACACACTATCCTGGGGGAAAACATACACGTATGAATCTTGAAGCATATATACATTGTAACCTGCAAAATGACCTTAGCTGACTAAATGCTAAAAATTCCAACTGAAACAGCTCACGAAAATAAGTTAAAAACATATGTACACTTAATACATAAGTACATGCTCTTCTAAAATTACAACAAATTACAGAACCAAAGCCTCAGAAGCTTCCAACTCTTCAGCCAAGATGCCTGCAGGAGACCCTAGCTGTAAAATTTGCTCTAGAATGTGGATGATATGAATCAATGGCTGAGTCAACTGACCTGATTGGCAGCTACCCCCTTCACCTGGCCGATTTTCTGCTCAGCTGTGCCACGAGCATTTTCCTCAGTTTGGCCCAACTGTAAGGAAATTGATCGTTTTTCCACAAAGAACAACGTAAAGTCTCAACTCACACTTGTTGGGAAGAATCCCTTGAAACCTTCGGCGACATTCTTGCCTATTTGTTTCACCTAGACGAACAGAGGATCATCAAAGTGACATTGTTATTCGCTAGAATAATCACTAACCTCACTGACGTCAAGTTCAGCGGTGGTCTCCAATGCTTTTCCAGTACTTCCGACTTCCGTTACCTAAAAACTAGTGATTTCTTAATGGTTCTAAAGTGATCTCTGTTGCTTTATACTGAACGTCCAATAAGATTTTCTGCAGATAGTATGAATTATTCTGTAGATCTGAAAACGAACCTTTGAAATACCAGTCATCAGCGTATCCTTGAAAGCTTGTCCAGCCTCGCCCAAACTTTCCACAGTCGATTCGAGGGCCACATGGACCTTTTCCCCAGCCCCGCGGATCATTTCTCCAGCAGGTCCGGGGCGAAGGGCCGCTTTTTCCACGCAGTTCAGCAACGTTTTACTGCTTTGAACCACAACCGGCGTTCTTTGCGTTAAACTCATCATTGGTATCTGAAAAATGCAATTCGCATTATTCGACCTTGGAATTGTAAACCATGACAAAATGTCAGCGAATATAGAAGAAAAAACGAAAAATTGAATTATGAGAGAACTGGGGAGAACGGCGACTAGACTGCTTCGATTCATGGGAGGGACAACGTTGTTCTACGATCGCTTAGCCACTGCCTGCTTCCATACCATGTTGTCAACATCGAAGCATCTGACTGACGCAGAGAGTATACGTCACTGGTGAAAGTCCACTTTGTTTGAAATACCTATGGAATAACAAGCACATAGGTCATGGTTCCTTGTACTGAGATGAACTTCTTTTCATCATCGCTATATGAGATCATAGGTTTTATCTCGAAAGAAATACCCAGAAAATAGCTAGAACGCATACCTCCAAAATTTATCTTTTGAAACCTCCAAGGAGCCTCAAATTCATAACAATTAGTGATAAAAAACAAAAAACAAAAACAATGGCCGTTTTTCCAAGCGTTTTTTCAGAAACTAATTCCCGTCAAAGCTTCTTCCTTAAATCTGATACAGCACACTATTGAAAAGCTCTTTTCATGCTCTATCTAATGTTGTTGGAGCGAGCTACCAGCATCATGTGCCAAAAAGTTATAGAACCTCAAGTGACCGCATCCAAAATCAGATTTCATTGCATACTGTTGGCCGGAATGTACACAGAAAATCAGAAAATTTTATAATTTGGGACATTGAGGGCTACCGAAAAATGTTGAAAGAACTGAAAATTTTGGATTTTAATTTTTTCATTTCGCGGATCTCCTGCTCAAGTCCTTTTCAACTTTTTTGTCCTATTGGTTTGCGGCTACAAGATAGGCAGCTTATCATTTCTAATTACAAACTTTGAAGAAAGATATGACTTGTCAAAAACAAGGTTTCGGAAAAAAACTACTTTTCTTTTTGTTTTTCAATCCATATTTTCTGTCCGATTGTGAACTGAGTATAGCAGACTGTGCTGTATTGCGAAAGGTTAGTTGCTTCTAATGGTCTTTATCGCATCCAGAAATGTAGATTCTTCGGGAATCATAGCGCGTCAAAGTGAGAACTCGCAAAACGGCTATTATTCTTGCATCAACCTAATATTAATGGAAATAACCTTCATTTTCAAGCTGAGTAGTCCTATCAAATCACGCCGTAGCAAATTTATATGCAAGCAAAACTCTACAAAGATCCTTTTAGAGTAGTATCTTCAAACAGGAAAAGAATCACATTATGGAGAAGTCTCCTTCACAAGAGAAAAGTGTTGAATGAGTGACACGAATCTGTAGATTACTTCAACTACTGTACCTTACCAGTTGCAGAAGGAGACATGTAGTGAAATTTAGACAAAGCACCACAATGACGAGATTTGTATAGCACATTTAGGATTTACATGAATTTATTGTGAACATACCCAGCAACATTTGAACATGTGCAACATAATTATAGTGCTTTGAGATATTGATTAAAAAAAGCAAGCTTTTTCAACCCACTTCCAACAGTTTACAGACTGTACACGTTCAAGATATATTTGTTCTATCTATCTATATACTCAAGACAGGTTTACGGACCTTCCTTCCTTACTGAGAAGTCCTGGAGAAGACTCAGATTCTCATAAACCGTCTATTCTTATACTCCTAAGGGCATGCACGAAACGGAGTCCGGTAGTTTTCCTACCAAACATCAAAAAAATTTCTAATAATACCATGATGCGTACATCTGTCCTAGTACGAAATCTAAAAGAGATGATAATCTAGCAGTTTAACATAGTCATACTTCACATCATGAATGTCCACTAAAGGCCTGGCCAATATTAAGACCGTATGTCACTTCCATTCAATCACTTCTTACTTTATTACCTTAGTAAACAAGACCCACCTACCCATCAATGCTGTTAGGCACATTAAATGGTAGATGTGACATCATTGTAGTCTCTTACCTCTCATAATATCACTTTATCCCAGTATGAAGCTTTCTGAGAGGACAATAATTTTTAGGTGCTTGAAGATATCTCATGTATCCACTTTTACAGAGCCGATAAATAAACCAGCTAATAGGACATGAGTGAGGCTCAGCATGTGCTTTCGGAAGCAAATCCAGCAGTGAAAAACGCGCTAGACGCCGGATATGATACGGTATGCGAATTTTTATTATTTTTCTTAGTTCTGTATGATAAATAAGCATTTCCCCAGACTTTTTTCCAAACCAACGAAAGTGCAAAAGAATCTTCGGACACATTGGCACAGAAAGTTATCGATGCAAAGGAAGGAGTTGGCGAAAAGGTGCGTTCTCGTGGAAGTTTTCCAAAATCATAAGTGCTTGCAGGCTGAAGAAGCAAAAGAATTTCTAAGCCAGAAACTACGGGAGAGCATAAATATGTAAACTCTTTATTATTTTTAAAACCTGTGATAATTAAGAATTATTCCTGCAACGTGGAGTTTGATCGATGTATAATAAAGATATTTGTGAAACATTGTAGGGGAAATAATGAAAATTGTCATCCACAGTGATTAGGTTGACCCAACTTGTGGCGCAAAGAGTGTAATTGCACATAAAACACACCCTACGCTGATAATTCAGGGGTCCATACTTACTGGCACAACGTCCAAATTATGTGCAATTGCACACATAGCCTGAATTGATTGATCCGTACATTGATCGCCAGGGATCTTGCCCAAGGGCAAATGAATCTCAAGTTGACACTTCAAATTATGGCTTTTCATCTACAGTTTCAGAATTTGTCTAGCTCTACGCCCGTTACTTCGTAACATGGAAAATATGATCTGTTTAAAATTCGAGGTATTGGCAGCTACACTGACCATATAGACCTGACATGTACAAAAAATATCAGTTTCGAAAGGAGAAAAACCCTAAACCATGCAGGAAGTCGTGGATCACTACTGCAAATCCCCCACTGTTAGAACTGCGTTGTTTCCTTCGTTTTGAATTGACCAAAAACCAGTCACCGCTCTGCTTAGCAGCGCTGCTGCAATTTCGCGCGGACTATAGCGCAAAGCACCAAAGACCATGAGTGTCTTTCTAGAACAGCAGCTAAGAAACCATCGACCACGCGATACGGAAGAGCGTAGTTCGCTGACACTAAACACCAACAAACAAATGCGTAAACAAGGTCAGAGGTGAGACGTTCAAACAACGGGCGCAAGGAATGGATTCACTGTCGTATTCGTATGACGCTCGTTATGTTGACTTGAAGGTTGAGGAAAGAAAGATTGATAAGCTTTAACAAGACCATAACATTTACTGTTAAACGAACTGTTAAAGCAAAAAATCTATTAGCTTGTTTATTAATTTGTTGTTTTGGGGGTTATTCTACTTATTCGTTTACGCCTTGTGGAGTAGTTGAGTTTACTTTAAATAAGGATGCTTATAATATAATTTTTTGGATTCTGTAAACAGTCAACCTAAACGGCTGAGGCTCATGTGCTCCGAGAGACCTTCAGAGACAAAACTGAGGGCTATTTTGAAAGGTTGGATAGCTACAACTGTGGCTATATCATGCTATAGTTGAAGAGTTGATTTGAATGCTGGGAGGTGAAAATGTACTAGGTCGACTCATTACCGGTCCAGTTCGAGATACTTGCACAGAACGATCCTGTTGAAATAATAAAAACTACTCAGCACATACTTTGGCGTAGTTGTAGCGATTACAGAAATAATTTGTAGCCCGCTGTCAAAAATTTTTTGGTTGTCGCATAGCTGAGAGACTAAGAAATGAAAATAGCGCAAGCTCCTCTCATTGAGTTGTGTCGGGTGAAATGTGAAAGGGGAAGAAATGAGAAAGGGTATGCTTCCTCTAAAATTGTCTCAGTTCAAAATGATTCTTGAGAACTATCTTCTTTCGCCATAGTTCCTTATATGATTGTTAGGCCTTTCTAGTTTGTTGTGTTGATTTGTGTTGTTTATTAGATGTTGTATTCTGTTGAATTTAATATGCGTAAGAAATTCCTACGCAATAAATAATAAATGTACCAACAGATTTTACAACATTGCTTGCAAAACCATGTTACAAAAAGTTCGAAAATACTCGCTTTTTGGCTTCTCAGAAGAAGCAAAAATTGCCTTTTCAAGGGGATTTTCCAACCTTTCTCCTTTGTAAAGCGAGAAATGCCACCGTTTACTTACCATTCAATGTTCTGCTCTACCCTAACTTTAGTTGTAAAATTCTAAAATTGGTTTTTGCTCAATATTTTTATATGGCACCAGAGGGCCACAGCGATTAACGAAATGCAAGTTAATACATCTCGGCAAGAGGAATTTCAAGCTCTGATGTTTGAATGCTTGGAGCTCTCGGAGAAGACCGCGAAAATCAAAGCATATGCAACAATTGAAGAACTGTTAAGAAAATGTTCTAATGAATAGCAGTGCCGCAAAGAGGCCGAAAAAATGCAGATTATGAAACAAATAGTAACTAAACATACTACAGTGTGTATGCCTTATGATTATAAGGATGGATACCTCGCTTTGAAAAATCTGAGGAAGGGGATTTACTGTCTCGGACAGATATATGGAAATCCGACTGAAATCTCAGTATGCCAAATTAGCACATACTAAACCGTCAAGCAAAGGCTGAACTTCAACTATTAAGTGTATTAACATCTCTGAAACTCTTCTAGGAAGTCCATATATGAAAACTCACCTTTCGTAGACGAATGAAACTCAGCTCACAATTAGTGTCAAGCAAGAGGTTCACAAGCAACAATTTTCAAGGCCATTAGGAGCTACTGCAGAGACCTTGATATCCTTCGACCGGCAAAAAATACGAAGTAAAACCATAAAACCGAGTGAAAATTCGGGCAAAAAGAACATAACAGTATGGATACGAATGCTCAACTTGATTAATCGAGCATGACGAATTCTTTACATTCCATCTGGGGAATTTGAAAGATTAACGATAGATGAATCACCTGAACCTACTTCGTCATCAAACAAGATGCTGTCGAAGAGGGTGAGGGAAGGGGCCGGGGTTTGTCATCGTAAAAAAATCATTTTGGGAGAGTGACAACACAAACGATAGGCAGCTTCTCAATTCCTTCTGATATGGTATATTTCAGACTCCTCAGACTTTTTGCTATTCAGTACTGAGCGGTTTGTTAACAATTCATTTTGTTCGTTCAAATATTTATTTACGTCCATGAAATCACAAATGTACACGTCAGAATCGCTACAGCTACACAACTGTCAACCACCTGATATCTGACATATGAGCCAGCGTTTTTCTAACTTATCCATCTATATACAAACCTTATTACAAAGCGAGAAGAACATAAAAACAGGCAAAATCTCCGAATTCTACATCACAAGTCATGTGTTTTCAACAGACAAATCAGCTGGGGTTCTAAACCATTTAGATTCCGCGCTTGAGATTATCCTCAGCTTCCCGTAGTTTTTCATGAGCAAATCGATCGGCTTTCAGTTCCTAAAGTTATTTTTTAAAATAGAGATAGCGATTTAAAAGCAAATAGTGAAATCTACTTCTTCTCCGGATACTCTCTTGGCATGTTCCATTTTGTCCTCGACCGATCTCCGGCCTCGTTCCAATTTCTCTTCAGCTGTTCTTTTTCCACGTTCCATCGTATCTTGCACAGATCTCTTGCCATGTTCCATTTTTTCCTCAACAGCTTCTTTGGCATCCTTTGAAGCCTCTCTGGCCTAAAAAGAGGAAAAAATATTCTTGAGACTCGCCTTGAAATCATAAGATAAGTTAAGCAAGGTAAAAATCTTACCCTCTCGTAACCGCGTCGCATTTTCTCCTCAGCATTTTCCTTTACGTCTTCGCCCATTTCTTTTACCTGTAGCGAAAAACTGAGAAGACAAAGAGCATTTTCTGATTTACCCTACCTTCTCGAAGCCGTCCTTCACCTTCTCCTTGATATTGTGTCCGGTCTCGCTGATTTTGTGACCAGCTTCGTTCAATTTTTCCTTTGCAGCTTCGGCCACTTCTGCGGCCTTGTCCCCGGCATCTCGAATCACTCCGTAACGAGGAGCTGCTGTGTGAATATTTCTTGCTTCAGCGCAGGCCAACAATCGTCGGCTGCTCTGAAGGAGTGCAACGGTTCTGAAGCTCATTATTGCAGATTCTTCTTATCTGAAAAGAGAAAAATAATCAGGTCTAAGGGTCCAAGGGCTAAATTTATTTACAAGTAAAGACACATGTGATCAGAAGTAGAGAACGAGAGAAGATGTATGCGCCACGGCGCTCGATGGCGCACTCTGTCAGCGAATGGGGCACGCTGTTTACCGCCCGCTCCGACCACGGGGCTGCGTCTCTCCGCTACTGACTGATTCGTAAACAACATCGCTCTACTGCCTGAACGCTACCCCAGGCCAAGCGTCATTACTGTTCCACAAAAATACCCCCCCCCCCCTTCCACAGCTATCGATCCGGTGTGGCAAATCGAAACGATCGGGGAAGTAAATTTACTTTCTTCTCGAGAATTTCATCAAAAAATGAATGTCTCAGTTTGTGAAGGTTCGTAGGAATGATGGTAACCTTCTGCAAATGTATGATATCCTTAGAAGAAATGGTCCAAGGAGAATCAAATGCTTAACGGAATGGTGAATAGAAATGTAATCAGTGACATCAAATTTTTGAAAAATAATGCTTCAAGAAAGGAACTAAAGTTGGCTGCAGAACTTATAATTTTAATGCACACACTCAATAATGTCACTTCAAATGATTTGCATGACTACAGATGGTCTCAAGCGATCTGCGCTTCCCTTTGGCTTCAGCGCACAAACGTCAGGAAATTCTTACATTTTTAACAACATAAATCAAGAATTGTAGTTCAAGATCTCAACTGTTGACACTAAACCAACACTGCGTGCGTCAGTTATTAGATTAATCGTCTGTGATCTTACCACAGCTTAAAACGAGACTTAAAAGTCATGAAGTGATTTCTGGAAGGGCTAGCCATATGGACACATAATTGTCTTCTATTACTGATAGAAAATTTCGAATAGCTGATATATGACAGTAGAGGAAGACTAACCACACAAATGTTAGCTCTGTAACGGCTACTCAAAACGTCATAAAAGTTCGTATTTGCTGTCAAAACGGAACTTTACTGACCAACCTTGCATTACCATAAGTCGAGATTTCCCCGTGATTTCTTTCAGCATGCATTTGCATGAAGTGATTAGCGTGAAAGTAAAGGACAAAAATGGAAATTGATGGATATCTTCATAATCGCAATGTATTGGAAGCTAAAGTTAACCAGCGTGAAAGTAAAGAATAAAGGTGAGAAAAGTTGGGTAACTCACACACAATCGAGATGTACACTGGAATATAAAGATAATGCGTGATTAGCCAAAATGAAGCATCTCCTCCAATTTTTCCGAAGGAGTAACTCAAAAGCCATCTCAAGGTCCAGGTTTTAAATCTTACTTTGTCAAATTCTTTTGGTCTTTCGCTGCCAAACCCTTGATTTCAACCATTTGTCGTTTGCAGAGGGTAATTTACGGAAAAAGCCTTTTTGGGCGATATAAGCTCATTCAATACAAACCTTTACTAAAGTGCTGAGAATAATTTGTAGATCAGAAACTTGCAAAACTGAGAGAGAGAAAACTGAGAAAACTTCTAGATTCTGCTTCTGAGAAAAACCAAGAAGGTTTGTTCTGCAAAAACAACCGAATTTTGCCGCAAGACGTATCATACGTGATGCGGTAGGAATGATTATTCGATTATTTAGGATGGAAAGAATCAACCGAGTCATATTGTTTCATCCTCGTTGCAACGATTCACTATGATTTCGCTCACGATGAAATGTTCAGACACCATTATTCAGATTGAGCAAAAAGGGCAAAAAAAAACAGTCACAAAATCCTCACACTAACGCATTTTTAGATCAACAACAGGCAACTGCGTAAAGTTGCCACAGGTCTGAAACGAATATAAAAAAAACTTCTCAGACAAGAAAGCTGCAAGACCATTTGCGATATGCTTAACAGCTGAATCTGTGCTTCAACGCATCTCTAAAGTTTTTCCGGCGATGAAAAGAGAGTTCGAGGATGTTATGCTTGCGCAGTTCTAGATCAGCCTAAGTCTATAAAGTCCCATTTGAGATGGGGACGTACAAGGAGAATTTTGGTCCTACATGATGAAAAAAATTCTTCCTTATATTTATTTATTTATTTATTTATTTATCAAATACATCGTGAACGATGCACCACCTCACAAATGAGATAAAGACAGGTAAATAAATATGGAACGGGGGTGGGAGAAAAAGGCAAGAATTATTTTGAATTTGCTCTCACTTTCGAGTCGTATCCGAATAACAAATCTTATAGAGTTCTTATATAAGTTCAGGAAGAGGAAAAGCTCATGGGCTGCTGATAAGGCCACGAATGACGTTGTTGTAAGTGTAATTTCTGGGGAAAGTATGTATTTGATGGTGTTTGAAGGTAAATAATGTAGAGTAAATTGGATGGAAATGGTGTTATGAATCAGGTCTCAAAAAATATCAATGGATTTCTTGCACATTATCAGGAGCTTCGAACACATGCATAGCGACCAGCATAAGTAGTATGTATTGCGCTCAAAATAATGAAGTGTTATGAAGTATTACTTGTAGCAGGTCATTTTCAAGTACATGATGTACCGTCCATCCATCAATCCATCCATCGAATCGTCCATTCCATCCATCCATCCATCCATCCATCCATATACATACATACATACATACATACATACATACATACATACATACATGTGTCCGTTGGTTCCTTCATTAACTCCATATTTGAGCAACGAAATGCTGATTGATGTGCGAGTTCAAAGCTTCCAATAATGTGCATTGAGTTGTCTAGATGAAGTACATAAAAATCAATTAGCAGGGTTCTTTAAGACAATCGTGAGTAAGTAGTAGTTTCCTTGTTATCGGTATATTGGGAGATTTTCTTGAACTGTACAATTGAGAAGAGTCAGAATCGACGAGAAAGGAAAAAGGGTACGATATGAAAGTAGATGCGAATAAAGAACTATCACTTGCTTTCGTCTCCCAAAACATGCTTTGAAAAATGCTGTAGTAAAGGAACGTAATCATAGGGAGACAAAAAATTCAAACAGAGAAGTTAAATACAATGTGAACTAAATTTGTCAAGGTAATTATGTTCGATTAGGAATTTCCTTAATTTATGTGGATCCAAGGTTATTAGTTCCATAGGAAGTTTATTCAGTATGTGACACATGCGGGCACCAAATGAATTCTGTAGGCTACGTTTTCGCCATCCTTTGGAATTATGTGTGTAGGCGTTAATTCTAAAACGACGGATACTGGTGGGACGTAAAATACAGAAGTCCGAAAATCTCAAACGTGTTTCAGATTTAAAGATCTTGTATGCTAGCAATATGTCAGCTAATAACCTCCTGTGATATAAGCTTTTGAGTCCTAGCATGGTTAGTCTAGTTTTATAATCAGGAAGAGCCTGTGGGTAATCAGGATTTGGGAATATTCGGTAGAATAAGATTCTAGTGAATGTACGTTGTACTTTTTCCAATTTTTCGATCACTTTTTTGACATCAGGATTCCAAACTGGACTGCAATATTCCAAGACAGGAAGTACGTAAGCTTTCCAGAGTTTCAGCCAGATGTTGATATCATGTACATGTACGTTTCTTAGTAAGGTGTACATTGTGCGTTTGGCCTTGCAAACAATATTATCAATGTGTAATGAATATTTAAAAGAAGAATCAACAACCACTCCAAGGTCCTTAACATTTTGCTGAACTTGTAAGGGAATTCCATAATCGAACATAGTCGAATCTGCGCCTAATTTCAGTATCTGACTTTTGGATGAATTAACTTTGATTCCCCATTCTTTAGCCCATTGCAGCATTTGATGAACAGATAATTTCAACTTTTCGCGTATTACTAGACTATCATTGTTATCGTAACTACCATAGATTTTAATGTCATCAGCATAAGCTGCTACACTAATACGAGAATCAATTCTCAATACATTTGGTAGTTCCATGGTATAGATGTTAAATAGCAGTGGGGAGAGAGCACTTCCTTGAGGAACACCTGACGTACAGGGTTTTGCTGTAGACTTTTGACCTCGGAAAAGAACTTCAAAGGTCCGTTCAGATAGGTATGATTTGAACCAATTTAAAAGATTGGTTCTAATGCCTATGCTCTCAAGTTTCATGAGAAGCCCAGTATGATTGACAGAATCGAATGCTTTACTTAAGTCAAAATAAATGATATCAACTGATTTGCCTTCACTAAGTGCCATAATCCAATCTTGGCAACATTTTACCAGTTGTGTAGATGTAGAGGAGCCGGGTATGAATCCATGTTGTTCATCGGGTAAAAAGTGGTTTTCTAAGCACCATTTTAGGACAGATTTTGCCAGGATTTTCTCCATGATCTTACAGGGCGTAGGCAAAATGCTAATTGGCCTAAACTCGGAAACCTTTTTTGCACATGCACACTTAGGTATGGGCACAACCATAGCTCTTTTCCAGATTCTTGGGACATTCCCAGTCATTAAAGAAATGTTAAAGATATGCGTTAAAGGCAAGGAAAGGCCTTTAGCGCATTTCTTGTAGAAGAAACCAGGTATGTCTTCGGAAGTGTATGACATCGAGGGTTTGATCGCTTTTAAAAGTTTGTAAACTTCAGCGTGAGAGAAAACTGGGTTGGGAAACACACTACCGGTTAAAGAGTCGATCTGGGAAATGTTCAGGCAAGTGCTAGTATAAGCACTTGCGAAACATTCAGCTAAAGCATTAGCCTTGTCTAAAGATGAGAGTAGGGTATGCCCGTCATGATCGAGAATAGTGGCACCAACTTTGGATTTGGAAATACGATAGCTCATCATATTAAACAAAGCGTGCATGTTATTATTCTTCGCCATTTTCCTTTGTTTGTAATCCCAAAAACGTTGTAGATGATGAGAAAGGGTCCGGCATACAGTTCTGTATTGTTCACAGTTAGTGGGAATTTTAGAGAGAAAGAGTCTCCTCTTTTGATGCAAAAGGTTCAGTATATGAGGAGGATATCTGGTAACAAAACCGTGACGCCTTTTCAGCGGGACGTAAGTTTCAATCAAATTATATAGTACTG